GATCACATAATTCTGTACAAATGACAAACTTCCACCCAAGGGATAGAGTGGGTGGGTAGAGTGAATCACTGCTTTCTAGACCCATACTCTAACCAGTTAGCTAATCAATAAAAACATTTATTGAATAGTATCCAATTAATAAAAAAAATACTTATTGAATAGTCACAATGAGCAATACACTAGGAAACACATTATTAGATATGGTTCTTATCCCCAAAGAGTTTATAATTTATTTGGGGGAAAGGGGAAGATAACAAAGATTTGTGAAATGATTAGAGAACAATTGAAATGTGTGGTTTTGATCTAACGCTGTCTTTTTTTTTTCTTCTTTAATTCATTGGGTATTTAGTTAGCTACTGTATAATTCACTAGCCAGAAAAATAAGCTTTGATTTATATGACTAATGTAAAAATCTGGAAAAAAAAATCTTTAAAGTATTAGCCAGGGAGAAAAGAATCCACTTAAACTTAATTGCCTTTCATGCCATTGAAACTGTTTATTGAACAACTTCTTCCTGGTAACATAGTGACCTTTGCATTGTAAGAGATGGAAAGTTTGTTGCTGGTGGGTGGATTTTGGATGTAGATAGAATATTCCTCTGGTAAGGAGTGGTCCAGAGCGAAACGGTCAAGTACTGTTCTGGGGATAATTAAGTTACAAACATAACAATAAATGGATTTAGAACTAATTTAATAAAATGTTCATTAAAGAGCCAAATATAGAGAGGCATTGGGGGATATAAAGACTAAAACAAAAAATAATCCTTGCCCTCAAGGAACCTACATTTTACTGGGCATCCAACTTGTAAACAGTCAAGCCTATGCATTGTATAATTCTTAGTTCACAGTCTCTCTAGACCAGATGGAGTTGGGAGCCTCAAGCAGACCCTACGGCAGAACTGACTAGTTTGGCAACTTCTTTTTGAACTTGGCTTAAGAGGCTTCTGCAAGAAGCAGAAGAAGAGTTAGAGCATTAGAATGGGTGCTATATTATAAAAAAAGAAAAGAAAAGAAAATCAAGCAGCCACCAAATCCTTTTTTGGTGTGATTAATGATGGCAGCTGGTATAGACTCAGGAAGAGGTTCTGATCTCTAGGGAACACAGGAGAACTTCCTTCTTGCTATTTTTCAAACAAGACTTGTCATCTCTAGACTCTGGGCATTTTCACTGGCTGTTCCCCATGCCTGCAATACTCTTCCTCCAGGATTCCCTGACTTCCTTCAAGTCCCAACTAAAATCCTGTCTTCTACAAGAAGCCTTTGCCAAACCCCCTTAATGCTACAGCCTTTCCTCTATTGTTTTATCTTCAATTTATCCTGTATATATCTTGTTTATACATGATTGTTTGCATACCATTTCCTTTAGATCTCAGTTCCTTGAGAGGAAGAACTGTTTTTGCTTTTCTTAAAGTCTCCAGACCGACTGATAGGAGACACATTTCTGCTTCGTCACAGACTGAGAGGAAGAAAGAGGAGAGGCTGCTCCTGCATGGAAGTCCCATAAGCATGGGAGGAATACTAATATCACACCTGTAAGTGAGTACAAGTTTCCATAAACAGAAATTATAAGGTAAGAGTTCTAATTGCATATACATACCTCTACACCTACTAAAATAAGTCCTCAAAGAAACCTGAGCTGAGCCTGGCAATACCAGTTGCCTGCAGGGTACTCCACAGAACTGGGGCTATCCATTATACCTCTTCTAGGTGAGGCATCTTGTTATTTATTACACATGATCATGCTACATGAAGGAGTTCCCACTGCCTCCTTTGCTTCTTTACAATGACAGTGTGAGGAGGGAGGGAGAAAGTATTAACTAGGCAAATCTGAAAAAGTTTTCCATGAGTGGAAACTTAGCCAAGCATTGAAGGAAGCTAAGGATTCTAAGAGGTGGAAATGAGAGAAAACCATAGGCCAATGATGGGGGACATCCTACACAAAAGTACATAGGCAGAAAGATTTACAAATTCTGGGAACAAAATAGGACATTTTGACTGCTATACAGATTACAGGATCGTCTATTTAGAGCTGAAAAGGATCCCAGAGGTCATTGAGTCTAACTCCTCATTTTACAGATGAGAACACTGAGGCTTAGAGAGATTAAGTGATAACCAAGGTCACATAGCTAGTGTCAGAGGCGAGATTTGAAATCAGGTCTTTCTGCCTCCATTACTGCCTCTCTGTTTTGTAGCTTGTATGTGAAAGGGAGCAAGGTGAAATACATCTGGAAAGATGGAATCAGATTGTGAAAGGCTTTGAATGCTAGCTGAAGGAGGAACAGGGAGACGGGTGATGGGGATTATGTTTAAAAATGACTGGGATCCATGATGGAAGACTGGACAACGGAAGCCCTGTCCTCAGAGCATGCTCTCCCTGAAGCCAAACCACTTGGGGAGGCTGGATGAGCTTGCTTCTGAAAGTGCATAACAATATGTAGTGGAGATCTTTGCTCTCCCCCTCAGAGCAAGCTCAGATGGGATTGTTTCTGGCCTGTTAACCATGTGGTAAAGAAATGGATTTCTGATTGGCTGTTGAGCTGGTACTGACAGTGCAGCAGGGGGGTGGGGTGAGGTGGGAGACTCTCAAGGTGGCAACTTAGCCCTTTTTTCCTTTAGAGTGTGTGCATGGTGGTGGTGGGGTGGACAACAAGCTGCTATGGGTTCCTATGCAAAGAGGAGACTGTAGGCTCTCTCTCATCTGTAGCTTGGAGTCTGAAGGCATATCTGCCATTGATGAGAGAGGTAGCACCATTGGCCTATTCCAAGTCTTTTTCGAGTCACAATACATGTCCCTGCTATTACCTCTGTTTTGTGTTGTGGTTATTCTTTCCTGCCCTAGGTGAAGGAGTATTGGAGATGGAATGGACTAGACTGTGACCTTGTGAGCTTTGAAAGCTTTGAGCCAACAGACATCCAGGAACTCAAATCCATGCCAGACTCTTCAGCCTAAGCCCAGTCCACTACAGCTCCAGTGAGCAGCAATCCAGCCTAGGAGTGGATTGATCCCCTAAGCTAAGATGCCAGGTCTCATAAGCATGAAATAGACTCTTCCACTACTCAAGCTACATTCAGAAAAGAACCTGGTTGGGGTGAATGCTTTGTTGCAACTATTTTAAGTTTGATTCTGTTCTCCCCAAGAACTGAGGTAGTATAGGGGAAAGTGGGCTCCTTGATGTTAGGGCAAGATGCTTATACTTCTTGCTATATCTTCTCGGTAAATATTCCTTTGTAAAAAGTAATTGATGTTAATTGGTTAAATGATACTGTGACACTAATCTTTGTGTCAATGATGTAAGGGAGGCACTAATCATAACTGGTGATTGATACTGGAATGAACACACTGAAATGGGGCCTCAAGCTGATTCATTTGGAGAACCATAACCTATCATGGATACCTCTAGAATATAATAGTTAACATTTACATAAAGCTTTCTACATGCCAGGCACTGGGCTAAGCACTTTACAATTGTTGTCTTATTTGATCCTGACAATAACGTTAGGAGGTGGATGTTATTACCTCCAATTCACAAATGAGGAAACTGAAGCAAACAGAAGTTAAGTCACTTGTTCAGGGTGATAGGACTAGTAAAGGTCTGAGGCTAGATTTGAACTCAGGTCTTCTAGTGCAAAGGTGCCTCTAGAATCCTGAAGAGTAGATGTAGCTTTGCTCTGGAGAACCCACTTGACTCATCAGTCCAAGTGGGAATTGGGATAAGGACTCTCAGAGTTTTTAAGTGCTACAAGAAATAATAACAAAAAACATCTATTTTTAAAGCCAATGTTAGGTATTTTTATTTTTTCCTTGAGGGACTAGGGAACCAATGGAGATTTTGAATAGGATTGTAGATTTACAACAAGAAAAGACCTTATTGGTCATCTAATCTAACCCCTTCATTTTAGGGAAGATATGATCAGATCTTTATTTTAGGACAATTAATTTGGCAGTTGTGTGGAGGATGAATTTATTAGAGGAGAGAATGGAAATGGAGAAACCAGTTAGGAAGCTGTTGCTATAGTCTCGGACAGACTGGATGAGTACCTGAATAATGGTGATAGACTATAATTCCTGAGAAGAGGGTGGATGTAGGGTGTTGTGGAGAAAACAATCCATATGACTTTGCATCTTCCTAACACAGGAGAGTGAAGAGTTGAATGTGAATCCAGGATTGCAAATATGAGTGACTAGAAGCACACTCAACCAAAACAGCATATTTTGGTAAAGCTGTCTTGTCTTATCATTATCATCCTCATCCTCATCATTACTATTATTACTCACCCCCACACATAGTCTCACATAAATTGACTTACTATTTTCATGTCAAATAAGACAGCTGAGCTCAAGTACCACCTTTCTAAAGCAATCCTATCCTGAGCCCCTACTTGCTACTACCTTTTCTCAAAAGATTACTTTATATGCATTTTGTATTTCATTTTCCTAATACATATTGTTTTCCCTCTAAACAGAATGCAAGCTCTTTGAAGGCAGAAACTGTTTAATTTTTGTTTTTGTATTCCCCCAGATTAATATACCGTTTGGTACAAAGTAGGCACTTAATGTTTGTTTAATGAATATCATTTTAATTTTTTTATTAATATTCTAAGCCAAGTGTTATTAAAAAGCAACAGCAATAATACTACTTTGAAAATTTGAAAGACGAAGATAAATATTTGGGGATGTGGGACCCTTGCAAGAAAATTGAATATGGAGGCAGTGTCTATATGCACTGGGGGAGAAAGGGGTCCGCCTCTGATATTTATGTCCTGCAGCAAATCACACAAGGTTTTCAAAGCGCTTTCAGGTTACAGGAGATCTAACTCCCCCAAAACTGAGCAAGGCTCCACCCAAGCAAGCCAAACCCCTCCCCTCCCCTCCTCTCTCTACTTTGACATCACGGCCACGCCCCTCCATTCCCCTGCCCACCCTTGCACTACACTTGCCCCTCCCCCTCTCGTACGCATTTCCTCTTCCCACTTCACCTCTAGGTGAAGAGGCAGAGGGGCTCGCTGGGGGACCGCTCTAGGCCTCCTGGAGGACCGGTCTTCTCTATTGGCCCAGCGGCAGCCTTACGCTTCTCCGGCGTCCCGGGGTGACGTGATCATTTAACGCGTTCGGGTCTCTGAGTGTCGTTGGTGTCCGTCCTCAGCATGGGGCTTGCGGAGGTGCTCGGGCCGGTGTCCAGGTGAGTGGCGGAGCCACTTGCCCCAGCATCTGGAAGGTGCCTGAGGAAGGGCGGGCGTCACTGCCCGGCTGGTCACTTTGCTGCTTTCGGCCTGGTCTGAGGGACCAGCACCACCTTATTCCCCAGACCTCTGACCTCCTTGGCGCCCAGGCTGCTTCTCTTCGTCACCACTTTCCCCTTTTCCCTCCCCCCTGTTTCTTCTCCTCCCCTCCTCCGTTTCCCCTCCTCCCCCTTCCTCTCCCTCCTCTGCATCTCCTTCCTCCCCTCCCTTCTCTCCTCTTTCGTCCCCCTTCCTGTCCCTCCTGGTTTCTTCTCTTACTCCCCTCCCGTCCCCTCTCTTCTCCTCCTTCAGTCTCTCCATCCCTAGCCCTTTGAATAACTGTTCTGCCTTGGTACCCAAACCTTCTCTCAACCCCCTTCCTACCAGAAAGTTAGGCATAATTTCAGAGCCAAGTGAAGACAAAATACAGGGCAAGTCAAGGAAAACCCAAAATGAACACTTACGTAAATTACTGAATTCAACAAACGTTAAATATCTATTGTTTATGGAACACCCTGCCTGGTGGAAGTGGAATACAAAGTTTATATAAGACATTGACCCTGCAGTTCTTAAATTCCCTGCCTTTCATAAGGAACTTTGGTACCTGGTTCCGGTTATGTGTACTTAATTTGTTACTGGAGACCTATTCAGATATTTACAGCTATTCACCGAACATCAGCTACCTGTGATGTTGTAAAGATGAAAAATAGCTGCAGTTCTTTAGAGGTTTAGACTGTAATGGGGGGAGATGAGATGTTTACACAGATAAATATGTTTTTTGGTAGAGTGTGATAAAGGAGATCAGGTTGTGGAAGCTAGACGAAGTAGAATGCCACAATAAGGAATTTATGGTTTATCCTATATACAGTGGGGAAGCCAATTAAGGTCTTTGAATTGGGGAATGATATTGTTATACTTTTGTGTTAGGGAAAAAATGGAAGCTGTGTGAAGGATGAATTGGAAGGAGAAGAGATTAGAAGTAGAGAGACCAATTAAGAGACTGTTATAGTATTCCAGATTAATGAGGTTTTGAACTAGAATGGTGGCAGTTAGAATATAGAGGAAAGAGCAAACATGAAGTTGTTTTCAGGACTGGATTAAGGAGTTGGGAAAATTAGATTTTTGTGTCCTGGTGATTGAGAAATGGCATTACCTTTAGTAGAAATAGGAAAGGTAGGAGGATGGGCAGTTGGCAGGGGAAATGATCAGTTTGGGACTTGAGTTTGCGGGGTTGTTGTTAACATCCAGGTGGGGATTGTCACCAGGGAGTTCAAAATGGAGGATTGGAACTCAGCAGGTAGGTGAGGGCTAGAGATAAAGATTTGGGAGTTATTAGAAATAACTATCAGGGTGGATGAGAAGGACATCTAGAGATCATTTCCAAACCCTTTAGACTGTAGTTTGACAAGATGATTGCATCTGCCATTAAAATAAGTTCATTTGTTGCCTGTTCTAGCAAGATCATAGATCTTGGATATAGACCTCCAAGAGACATAAAGATGTAAGAGATCTTAGACTAACTCCCTCATTTTGTTTATAAGGAGCTTGAGGCCTAGAAAGTCCACTTGACTTGCCCAAGGTCATACAGGTAAGTGGCAGAGCTGGGACCTGAACCAAGGTAATCAGACTTGAAATCCATCTTTTTCTTCAGTGTCACAGTGAACTGCAGTTACTGCAGACTGTTAGTTTCAGGTGAATGGTGTGAAATTTGATGGGGATTTATAAATAGCAAAACAGTTTTGAAATGGGAAGAATCTTAATACTATTGTATTTAAAAATAAAAGTGCCTGACACTCATTTTTTTAAAATGAAAAAGTTTTGAGTTCCTCAGAGGAAGATGTTTTTATGTCTTCCACCTCTAGTAGGCTGAGCTGAATATCTAGATTGTATTAATCTTCAGTCTTTTTTGGAAAATTTATAAATTGCAGCTGTGCATGCACATTTGAAATGAGAAGCATTAGTCAGCAAGACTTTGAGAGACTAATTGGGTCATAGGTGAGATTTCCTTTCTTGATACGTGGAGAGGTGGCATTCTTTTGTTAGAAGGCCAATTTGGAGGGTTACCATAGTATTTTTTTTTTGTCATTCCAAGTTGGTTGAGTTATCCCTTCATCTGAAGTAACACAGATTTAGTGAATCATGAAAGTGAAATACTTGTTCTAATGATCTGTTGCCTCAAATGTTTTTTAAGTTGCAAGAAAATAACCTAACTACACAAGCAACAAAATATAAAGACTGATTATGAGTCAATAGAGGTAGTTAGTGACTTGGAGAAGTGATTAATTGCTGTATAGCTTCAGATCCTTTGATGTCAATCCAGGTCTCTAGAGGGAAATTCCCTGATAAGGTGGAATCTGAGAGGCAGAATGGTAGACTTGGCATCAGGTTCAGGAAAACCTTCTGACTCATACTGACTGTGGGACCCTAGGCAAATCACTTAACCTCTCAGTATACTAGGAAACTCTTAAGATTCTAAGTTGCGGAGAAGGTACTCATTCATCTGCATTGGTATAGAGAGTTTCCTTATCTAAGAAGCAATGAAATTATATTATGGCAATGAAATCACAAGCCTAGTCCCTATCCCTAAGACATCTGACTGGGATGGGTCTGAAGCCACAAATATCTTCCCTTTGGTTGGGCTTTGAAGGGATGCTTTATATTTAATCCTGAGCAGTAACTTGGGGTAGCAAAGATTAGGTCGAGGTTACCTATTCAGACATAGGCTAATCCTTAGAAACTGGGTTAGGTGGGTTTTGCAAAAAAAGTATGCACAAATATATTTGTCATGCATGTTAGTACACATGCAGAGCTTTTTGAAAACATTGCTAGTAGTTTTTTTTTTTAATTTAAGGGGATGAACTAAATCAGGTCATAAGATAAAGGTTTGTTCCCTCCCTTCCCTCAGGACAGGACAGGTTTCTTTCCCCAACTGGAATGCAACCTTGAGGGCAGGAGCTATGTCTTATATTTCATCATCTGCATAGTGTTGAACACGTAGTAGCTGTGTGGTTTTTTTGACAGAAAAAATAATGCAGTGACATTTGTTTAAAAGGGGTTATGGTTTCAGGACAAGTCCTAGAATGACCTTTAAACACTGTCCAAGGAGTTTGCCATTACCTCTAATGGTTGTTGCCAAGTGAGCTCAGCCAGCTGGACGTCCCGTATCTCTTTTCCCTTCTGTTACTGAAGACCTTCAGAAGGCCCTCTAAACTACTTCCTACTCTTCCTTCCCTTCCCCCCCCTTCTCTCTCTACAGTTTGGCTTCTGACTTTATCATTCAACTGAAACTTCTCTCTAAAGTTACCAGTGATCTCTTAAGTGCCATATCTAATGGCCTTTTCCCAGTCCTCAACCTTCTTGACCTCTGTGTTCTCTTTGATACTGTTAATCATTGTCTTCTCAATACTCTCTTCTCTCTAGGTCTCTGTGACATTACTTTATCCTTGTCCTCCTACCTGGCTGACTCCTTCTCAGTCTCCTTTGCTAGATCATCCTGTTCACATCTGGTCATGGTGGATGACTCTCAAGACTCAGTTATGGGCCCTCTTCTCCCACTATACCATTTTGTTTGTTGATTACATCATCTCCCATGGATTCAATTATGATCTCTAGGCTGAAGATTCTCAGATCTACTTATCTAACTCTAACCTTTTCCCTGACTTCCAGACCCACATCTCCGGCTATTTATTGGATGTGTTGAACTGGATGTCCATAGACATCTTAAACTCAACATGTCTAGAAATGAACTCATTATGATTTCCTCCAGACTGTTCCCTTTTCCTGAATATCCTGTTACTATGAAGGAGCACCACCCTCTAGGCTCAAGACCCAGGTGTCAAATGTGACTCCTCATTCTTTCTCTCTTCTCATGTCCAATCAGTTATTAGGTCCTGTTTCTGCCTTTGTAACATCTCTTTGTAACCTCCTTCTCTCTTTTGGCATCCTGTTACAGGTGCTCATCACCTCATACTTAGACTATTGCAGTAGCCTTTTGTTTGGTCTCCCTTCCTCAAGTCTCTACCTACTCCATTTCATCCTCTACTTAATAGCTGAATTGATCTCCTTAAAATGCAGGTTTGACCTTGTCACCCTCCTGTTTAATAAATTCTAATGTCTCTGTATCACATCTAGGATCAAATATGAAATGCTCTGTTTGGTGTCCAGAGCCTTCGTATCCTGGACCTCTCCTATCTTCCAGTCTTCTTAAACATTAGCCATATATTCTGTGATCCAATGATACTGGCTTCTTGCTGTTTCTCATGTAAGACACTCCATCTCCTTACTCTTTAAATTTTTCTTGGTGGCTTTCAGTGCCTGGAATTCTCTCCTTACTCATCTTTGCCTCCTGGCTTCCTTCCTTAGCTAAAATCTTATCTTTTATTTATTTTTTTTTTGGCTAGGCAGTGGGGTTAAGTGACTTACCCAGGGTCACACAGCTAGTAAGTGTTATGTGTCTGAGGTCAGATTTGAGCTCAGGTCCTCCTGAATCCAAGGCCAATGCTCTATCCACTGCACCACCTAGCTGCCCCTAAAATCTTATCTTTTAAAAGAAACCTTTCCTGATTCCCCTTAATTCTAGTACCTTCCCTCTATTGATTCTATCTAATTTGTCTTATATATCTCTTGTTTGTAAATAGTTGTTTGAGTGTTCTTTCATTCATTGGATTGTGAGCTCCTTTAGATCAGGGACTGTCTTTTGCCTTTCTTTATATCCTCTGGATTTAGCATAGTGTCTGGCACAGAGTAGGTGCTTAATAACTTGACTTAATTAGTGCTACTACTTCAGTAGACTTAATGCATGATGAAGGGAGGAAACTACCTATATCTCACTTATTTGTCTTTTTTACTAAAATCAAAATATAATTGTTGAGCAATAAAATTTAGAGCAATTCAGTTCATTTTCTATTTACCAAGAAATATAAACATAACGAACAAGCTTCTAGGTTCAAATGTTACTTTG